TCCCTTCAGGCCTATTTAATGAGGGAGAGATGCTTGTTTCAGACACTGACGGGTCAGCTATTGCAGGGACTAAACCTACAAGTGCTGCTGGATCTGAATGCAAAGAACCCACTCTCCTCCTCAGCTCAAAGGCTGTAGCTGACTCTAACCGCTCGAGGGGCACAGACAGCCTCGCTGAGCAAGGATGGGTTACACTGGCACAGACGTCGAGGATAAAATAGCACGTTATATTCATGCAGCCACGCCGCCACGAGATCTGCGCAGACGCAGCCGGGCAGGAGTGAGAATAAAACCCAAGCTCTCTGTTATTATCAGGGAAGCGAAAGCAGAGCTGGAACAAGAGGCCTGACCTTTTCTTTCCTCAAGCTGACACATTTTCATCTCCCAGGGCTGTTGACCTGAAGGTCCCTCCCCACCAGTGGTCATTAGCAGAGAAGATGACTGGAAATTCCACTATGCTTCAGTGGGCCCTTGGTGGATGACAGGGTCAAGAACCCCACCCCACCCCATCCCACCCCTGCATCAGCCTGCATTATGCAGGTCAGGCTGGGGATCAAAATGGACCCTTCTTCTGGTCTATCAATCTATGGATTCTGGGCTGGGGGAGATTCCCAGCTTTTGATCTCTCAGACCCTAGTCCTTACTGGGGTAGCCCTATAGTTTGCGGGACTAAGTCAACCCTATTAGCATCTTTATCATTCAACAGCTGAAGGGAGGGTATTATGCAAGTGCACGAGGGAAACCAGGCAGCCCTTGCCGATGGGGGCAGCCGGTAAATATGTGGCCGACATCTTCTTATTGGTCACAGTAGCAAAGGCGGGAGTCACGAAGGGTGTGATGCAGCCACGTTCCCAACGTAGACCCTGTAAGGACCCTGCTTCAGCAGGGGAAACCAAAGCTGCAACCAGCAGGCCAACTCTTTTAGATCCCGGCCAGCATGGACGTTCAAGCTGCAGCCAGGCATAAGAGCCACTGCAGGTTCCTAGCTGTAATTGCTATAGGTAGTGTGTGAGAACAGGGATGAGTAAACGGTAGTCTAAGTCAGTTTGCCACCCCAGTTCATCACTCCTGCTCGGGGAACTTCCTTTCCTGCCCAGCCTCCCCCAGGCATGTATCACATCTACCATCTGCAGAAGTTTTCTGGGTTCCCTCACCGTCTTTTCTCAAGATCCGTTTGTATTTTCATGATTCCCCCCTCACCCGCCAAACGTACTGGCTGCAAGCTAGGAACTTTTTTTCAAATTTGTCTATTCGTAGGTCATTGGGCTACTCTGAATTGATCATGCAAGCCTTGGAGAAAATCAATTTTCGCAGAAACAGTAGCCCTAGAAAAAAATCCTTTCCAAAGCTTTCGCGCTACCAGCTGTGGACAGTCTGATATAAACCAGAGGCGGGTAAAAGACCATTCTAAAGTTTCCATCTCACAAGGATAGGTGTAAAGATCAAGGGGTTACAACAAAGCTCTACTGTGATGCAAGAAAACAATAGAAAGCGCTGGCCCCAAAATACTACCCAACCTATTCCTCTTCAACCAAATCTGTTGGGGTAGCAAAAATAATTCAGTCATTCTCCCCTACCACCCTCCGTTCTTATGTTCAATTTAGAAGGCCTGATTCTGATCTCACTTGCACCATTCAGATGCCAGCATAATGTTGGCGTTATGCCCAATTTACACCCGCGAGGGTGGAATGAGGCTCGGCCCTTGTGTAACGCTTTCCACAGGCGCTTAGTAATATAGTAAATCAGGCAACTGTATTCAAAGAAGAAACTTCCACTTAGACTATTCCTTTAAGAGAATGAGCGATGTAACACTACATAATGGATGCTGAGAAAGCAATTTACAAAGCAAATAAATCAGAGTACATTCATTTTATAATTCGGGCCTCCACATTCAGCCCTCTGGATGATCATAATCAGTCAGATCAATAATTCTGGAAGGAATAAAAGAATGCATTTTAAAAGAAAGGAGATCTATGTTTGGAGTGAGTTTCACTGCAGGCGTTAGCATTTACAGTAAACATTCAAGTACTGTTCGGGTGAGTAAGTGCTACCATAACACCTATCCACGCTGTAGGACAGTCAGTAAACTTGGAAAGCTCCTGATCGTAGACTAGTCAGATTTGCTTGCCATAAGCATAAAAGATTCCACCCATGGAGAAACCCGTGTGCTTTTTAAAAACATAGGCCCTGATCTTGAAAATCTAACCTTTGGGGACTCTCTTCTTGAATTCGATGGGAACTGAGTTTTGGCTGAGTAAGAAAAGTAGAATGAAGCCCTGATTCTGCAAGGTATTTAAGCACCTGATTGAATGATAAGCATCTGAGTAGGCCCGTGAGCAGGGCCGGCTCCAGGATTTTTGCCGCCCCAAGCAAAATAAATAAATAAATAAATAAAAGAGCCCCGCCCCCAAAAGAGGACTGGAATGCCGCCCCTTGAGAAGTGCCGCCCCAAGCACATGCTTGGAACGCTGGTGCCTAGAGCCGGCCCTGCCCGTGAGAGTCAACAGGTGAGATTCTGAGTTGTGCCTCTAAGAGGCACAGCACAGAGGAGGGTGGCGCCTTTCTGATCCCGGGCTGCACCGGGGACTACAGTGGCCCTTGCTCTAATTTAGAAACCCCCGTGGGCCAGTCAAAGTTACAGCAGCCTCCCGGGGCTGACCTATGGGCCACGGCCCTGCCTGGAATCGCTGCACCCTCTGATGCAGCTTTCCCAGCTCTGGCATGGCCTCTACCGCAGAGATGTACGGAGGGTTGCTCAGAGGGCAGCCTTATGGCGCTGCTGGTGGAATCCATCCCAGCTGGATCGGTGGCTTGTAGAGCCCCTCTACTCCAGATGAACGGGAGGGAGAGTTCTGCCCCAGACTAGGATGAAGGACTGGATGACCCCTCGAGACCCCTTCCAGCCGTCCAACTTTATGATTCCCTTATGCACAGAACTAGATGTATTTAAAGTTACGTGCCTAAGTGCTTTGCTGAACGCGGACCTCAGATGAACACTGATTTCTAAAAGGGATTCGATAGCTGATCTGATTGTGATACTCTGCCAAGCGGAATAACAAAGAGAAAGCCCCCAGACTATGATACAGCTAGACAATGTGACAGTCGTCTGACAGCTCTTGTTTTCAGATGACGTATTAATTAGTTTTGCCTCTTTCCGCCCAAGAAGCGAGCACCACGAGGTTGCAGTTTTCTCCAAATCGTGCATGGCTAGAACCTATTCGCTGAAGAGCTGGTGTGCATAAATCTTGGGCTGACGTTCGCACAGGAGTGCGTCATTGCAGCATCCAAGCTATTCTGATTGGCCTCTGAGGTCGCAACTAATGTTTCTGTCCCATTACGGGATGAGGGTGACTCTTCAGAGCAGGCTTATGCCGTGAATACTCACCATTATGAATCATCTGCAATATTCCCTGTTCCCATGCGCAGCGTGAGTTAACATAGGCCCCGATTCAGCAAAGCACTCAGGCACATGCTCAGGCAAAGCAGGTGAACAAGCAAGAAAGAAGCATTGTCTAATGGACAGAACACAGTACTGGGCCATAGGTCCGGCCGTCCTTTCCAATCTGGGAGGGGAAAGAAAGGTACTTTGGAGTGGGGGGGAAGGAGACACCCAAAGCCCCTGACATGGAGCAGGAAGAATGGGGGACCCTGGCATAGGGGGAGGGCAAAAGGGGGGTACACAGAGCCCCAGGCATAGGGGAGAGGAGGAAATGGGGGTACACAGAGCGCCAGGCATAGGGGGTTTAATGGAGGACCCTGGTCTGGAGGGGGAAGGGGCTATGTGGGTACACAAAACTCCTAGCATGAGGGAGGTGGGGGTTCCAGGGACTCCCTAAAACAGAGAGGGTTGGGAGGGGGTACTCAGGGAGCTTGTGGGGGAGGAATGGAGAGATGCAAGGAGCCCGGGTGTGCGCATGGAGCTCGGCCGACAGAAGCAACAATGTCTGCATGACCCTCCTGTCTAGACAGTCTGCAAGCTCTTTGGGACAGGGACACACTTGCAGCACAATGGAGCCCCGATCTTAGTCAGCGCCACTTAGGGGCTACCATAACACACAGGATTAATTTACATAATCAGCAGAGCTTTTCATTTTAAGCAAGTTCCATTAACTTCAGCGGGACTTGGAATCATAGAATATCAGGGTTGGAAGAGACCTCAGGAGGTCATCTAGTCCAACCCCCTGCTCAAAGCAGGACCAACCCCAACTCAATCAAGAATGTGCTTAAGGCCCAGATTTTTAAAGGTATTTAGAGACGTTGCTGTGCTCAGCCGTGCAATGCCAAACTGATTTAGAAGCTTAAGTATCATTGCCAAAAGGGATTTAGGCACTTAGAAACCTCAATCCCGCCGACTGTCCACCCTAAATTAGGCACTGCACGGCTGAGCACAGACGGTCCAGGCCTTAGGTGCCAGAATGTGTGCAAAATTGCAAAAACTAGAATGACCGTGTACTGAAAAGCCAGTTTGCAGCTTTGGTCCAGATCTGCTGAAGATATTCCCATTACACTGGCCCGCCGTGGACTGTCGCTAGATGGCCCTGTGACAACTATTAAAATACACACGAAATCACTGCAGAAGCTTAACCGAGAACCCAACCAACCCAATAGCCAGCTAGGGAAGAACAGTAAACGGACGGTGGCCCAGAAAGACCAGAAAAATGAATTTTGTACATTCAGCGTTTACATTTTTAAAAGAAAATCAGATGGAAAATCTATCCCGCTCAATGGCTGTGCGGTCGCAATCTCTCTACCGCGAAGAGAACAGAACACACGCACGCACACACGGAGAGAGGCTTAATAACACTGAATTGTCATCGATTGCAATGGCCACCTCAGCTTGCTGGTCTGAAGAGAATAAACGCCCACCGAAGCACACCAAAGATCATTGAAAATGTCTGAATGGCTTTAATGTGAATCCAGTTACTTGAATGAAAAAAGTACCAGAGGAGAGCGGTGGGTTTTTTCCCCCCCTTTCTCCGTTTTTAAGAGTATTTTCTCCCCGTGTCTGTACATCTTGGCTCATCCCTGAGTCATCTTCAAGGTCTCCTCCCCCGCCGCCAAAGTCAAGGTCCCTAAATGGAAAAACTAAGCATAGAGAGACAGCCTCATTGGCAAGAGAAGGTAACATCTGCTGTCGGATGCTGAATCATTCCTGCCCATAGGAAAACCACAGGGGCAGGGGGGGGATTTCTGCCAGGGGCGACTTGTGGGAGGGGCACAAAGGGTCAAGTGACCCTCGCCAGGGTGAAGTGCCCCCAGCAGCCAGCCTGGGCGGGGAGAGGAGGGGGGGGCAGAGATGGAAGGGAAGGGGCGGAGCCAGAACCTCTCCTGGGACACTGCCGGGTGCAGTGAAGCAGCTGCCTGGGATAGCACCGGACTGCAGTAGGCTGCCCCCAACCCAGGCTCAGCTTCTTGGGACAGTGGCCGAGCGAGCTGGAGCCGCCCCCCCTCCCCGTAGGCTCAGAGTTGGCTCCTGTCTCCAGAAGCTGAGCCTGGGCAGATCAGGTCTCAGAGAGGACCCCCAAGCTAGCTCTGTGTCTGACACACACACACACACACACACACACACACACACGCGCGCGCACACGCTCACACCCATCCAGCTGGCATGCACACGGACACGTGCCAAGGAGCACCGCAGCTCAGTTAACTCAGATCATGCCATGGTTTTACCTCTTCTCCTGGGATTTAGAGATTTTCTGTATTCATGCTGAGAGCTTTCCATACAGTCGTCTTAGGCATTTCGTCTGAGATGTTTATCTCTGAAGGATCGTCCCTGCAACAAATATTATAGGTGTTGATTGGCTCCGGTCCAGCAAAGCACTTAAGCACGTGCTTATCTTTAAGCAGGTGAAGAGTCTGAAGTCAACGAGACTGCCTGTGTGGTTAAAGTGAACCTTGGGCTTAATGCCTTGCTGGATCATTGACCTTAGGAACCAACCCACACAAGTGCTGAGCATCTACTGGGTGCACTGGGAGTTGCAAGCTCCTAAACCATTCGTGGTGATAAAAACACTTCTGCAAATCATTCTAAATGGGCTGGTGTCAATATGCCAGAACTGCAGCCAGCTGTTCGCTGAGAAAGCGTCTGTGCAAAAACGTGCGGTCCCGCACACTGTTTGCTCACAGTTTCGTTGCCCATGTAGCTAACTTGGGAGTCCTCAACACAAAGGACAAATGGATTGCTTCTTCGGACTGCGTTTGTCTGATAGTCCCAGTCTGGGAGCACCAGAGAGAGGGCTGGTCTTGACCGTGTTTGAAACAGCCTCTTAAAACCAGCACGAAGGAATGTCGGTTACGCTCGGAAGAAGCCGAGTCTGGAGTTTTGAATCTCATATAATGAGTTTCCAGTAAGATTAAAAGCACCAGAACAGCATCCAAGTGGTGAAGTGACGGCAACATCCTTTAAAGCAGAGGACCATGTCTTGGCTGCTGATGCTGCTAGTGCTGTTCATAACACCTGGGCTGACAGAGCCCAGGGGAGTGGTAGGTAGGAGCCACAATAACGTTACCTAGCTCACACATCACGCTTTCCCTCCGCAGATCTCCCAGCACTTGACAAAAGGAGATAATCACCATTACCCCCATTTCCCAGATGGGGAATGGAATCAGTTGACCCAAGGTCAACCAGCAGGCCACTGGCAGAGCCAGGCGTAGAATTCAGGGCTCCCACATCCCAGGTCAGTGCCCTAACCATGGGCAGCACTTCCTCACAACATGTAAAGGTACCTTAGTTTTCACATCCACCACCAGGTCTTGGCTTCCATAGGTTTTCCCATGAGGAAGGGGCAGGAGCGGTGCCAGGGTTTTTGGCGCCTCAGGTGGGGGTCCTTCCGCACTCCCGGTCGTCGTCGGCAATTCTGCGGTGCGGGGGTCCTTCCGCGCTCCCGGTCTTCAGGGCACTTTGGTGGCGGGTCCCGGAGCAAGTGAAGGACCCACCACAGAATTGCCGCCGAAGTCCCGGAGCGCGGAAGGACCCCCCCGCCGCCGAATTGCCTCCAAGGGCAGCAAAATGCCGCCCCCCAAATCCTTGCGCCCTAGGCAACTGCCTAGGTCGCCTAAATGGAAGCACCGGCCTTGGGAAGGGGTGAGAAACCTCACATCACTTTCATTTCAGGACATGTCAGCCACTTGATTCTGCCTAACGGGGGTTGCCAACAAGGAGCAATGGGAAGTCTGGCTATTAAGACTCATGAAAATCCCCTTTCACACCCTTATCATTCTCCTTATGAATAGAGCTGGTCGGAAAAAAGTCGGCAACACAGTTTTCTGTCGGAAAATGCCGTTTCGGCGAAACTGAACTTTTTCGCAAAATCGTATAGATTTTTAGGGGGGGAAAAGCGGCTTGGAAATGTTGAAAGTTCCCATTTTGACATTTTCAGAACACAAAGTTGCCATTTTCATTTCAAAATTACTTTTTGTTTTGAAATTGACTTTATTTTAAAAACCTTTTTAAAAATAAAAAGCGTCAAAATTGAAACAAAACATTTTGACTGATCCAACACTATTATT